TTGGTGCATTCAGATCTAAAAAAAAAAAAAAAAAAAAAAAAAAAGATATTATCTTACCTGAAATGGGTTTTCACTTCCTTCCTTACTTCACACCACTTTCATTTGTTGTGTTCACAGCATTGCTAAATTTCATTCCTAAAATTCAACAAAGGCAATGTTGTGGTTACTCTGGACAATTTACAGACCTCACTGTAATCAGTGTCCATTGAAACTACTTGATATCAAAGAAACAGTTCAGATAACATCTGCTGACAACATAATAATGATTTTTTTTTCTTTTCTTTTCCTTTTTTTTTTTTTTTTTGTTACTTCTGGACAAGATATTGTTCAACAAACAAAATCTAAACTATAGTCATATTTAGCTACCACTAATGGTAAGACAATTTGCTCTTTGTGTTTGTGATTTTGATGAACAACATTAAGTAGTGTCTAGTAATGACTTACCCCTTTCTTTCACACACTATGACAATCATGCATGACAGTGTTCCATTTTGTCCCTTCTGAGAGAGTTTTCACCCCCAGCTGAAGAAAAATGTGATTGACGAGGGAGGGACAAAGACGTTAAATGATCTCCAGTGTCTCCTAAGGGAGGGTCACTTGTTTGGATAATGGATAATACCAATTGTTATTGGGCTTTACACTGAATAAAGGTCATCAAAACTTTATGAAATGTGCCTTCGTAATGGTGCCGCTTAAAATGGCTGGACATATAGGGGATCTCTTCCCTCTTGTGGCCAAAACTGGGGACAGAAAAACTGTCTGATTTCAATATGACAATGCCAGCGGCAAAAGCATCACATCCCAGAGCCCCCCTGAGTGCACATCCTCTACTCTATCAGTGTGCAAAGTGCACCGGTTGGGCTCGATGATCCAGATTTTGCTGGTTTTTAATTAAGTGGAAGGTCAAATCTCATCGCTCTTGACTTCAGGGAGCTGCTGCTGTCTGCATGGCAGAAGAGCTACACCCAGTCATTAATTTTATGGAGCAGGGACTTTAATTGATTAAAAAGTTAAGGACTATGGGGAATGCGGGGTAAGAGGCACTAGCATTTAGTTGCTGTGAATGTGAGCTGGTATTCAGTCGCATCCATTATGGCTGCTAATGTTGTGAGACAGCACTTAACCTGAGGAGAGATGGTGATTTTCTTTTATAGAAAGACTTAAGTAGTTGTTTTCAACTTAAATGTTGCTGTGGCTGTAGAAATTCATGTAACTGCAACAACGGCAGCTTGAACTGAAAAGGTTTGCATGGTCGTCTACGGTTTATGTGAATTCCTGCAGGCTCACCTAAGATTTCTTTGAGTCATTGAAAACAGTCAAAAGCCTTTCATAAATGTCCAAAATTGCAGTGAGGCTTTTATTCATTTAACCAATATTGAACCAGGAAGTCCCATTGAGACTGAAATTTCTTTTACTAGAGAGACCTGGCCAAGGTAGCCGCCAATCAAAACACATTAAAATGTAACAAATACAACATATAATACAGAAATCCACAATAAAACAACAACTATTCAAACATAGTGGCCTCTAAAGAAAAACAAGCACATGTCTCTGTCAACACATTCTTTATGATGCCCTTAAATTCATCAATGGATGTAAGTGTATCTATGTATTTATCTACTGATTGTGTGTGTGTAAATAATGTTTGTGCTATTTTGGACACTTTTGTTTGCCCCTTTCATTACAAATGTTATTACAATAAGTATAACAATGCCCCTTCAAAGATTACATCACATTCCAGATGAACTAATTTTGCCATTTGGTGCAACACGTCTTCACACTATCTAGCATTTATAAGTGGCACCAGAGAGTGAATAAATGTTAATATCAGTCTATAACACAGGACCCAACCTGGGGATCCTTACCCTATGAGGAGTCGCCAAAGCACCAATGGGTTTTGCAAGGCGTACTTGATTTGAAATGGATGTAAGAAAGCTTAAAAATATATGCATACTGTACAGCAGGCCTGTGTCTCAGCATTTCAATCATTTCTGTGAAGAAAATTAAATAAAATTGTTATCTTTTAAATTTATATTAATATTGGAGATATACTTTTTTTTTTTTTAAGATATTTTTTTGGGGAGAGAGAGGGAGGGGGATGACATGCAGCAAAGGGCCACAGGCTGGACTCGAACCCGGGCCGCTGCGGCAACAGCCTTGTACATGGGGCCCTGTACACCCTTTGCTTAACAGCCTTATCCTGTGTTAGAAAAGTACGGAGTCAAAACAACCAAAGTATCAGGAAAACTTATCTCTGATGTAATATTCACCAAAAAAAGAAACTAAAAATTCAGCTCAAAATTCATCCAAATCGCTCATTTTACGCAAACTTCCAGCAGTAACTGCATTCACTATTTGAGTTAACTGTACATTTTATTTTGTGGTCTGTGCGTTATTGTTATGCAGTGGAAATAATATGAAATATCCATAAAATATGTCTTAAGGTTTTGAATCCAAGTTAGAAATTCCAGTATCGTGCCAATACAAACAAAGCGTCACATCTAATCACATAGAATACTGTCTCAAGGACTTTAAATATATTGTAAACAGTTTTACGTACGCAAACACGCGATAAATACTTTATATCACTTGGTAAAATTAATATAAGCCCACACATAGGGGTGGGCAATATGGCCCTAAAATAATATCACGATATTTCAGGGTATTTTTGTGACGATATTCTTAACAATATGACAAATTAGTATAAACAATATTTTATTATTAATTTAAGAAAATAATTCCCTCTGAGTGGTTACCCACTAATATAGACGTTTGGAGCTGTTCATAAAACATTCAGGACGCTCAGGCCTAATGACGCCACAATTTATGCCACACTAACAAAGCTGCTCCTCTTTTTGGAACCACCGCGGACTCGGTATTAATTTAGCTTTCAGCTATGCTTGTTGTTCCCACGGGTCACAGTATGACATCAATGTCAACAAGTCAAAATATCGCAAGTATCACAATATTCATTTTTCGTATGATATTGAAAATTATACCCGTATTGTAATGAGATGATTTGGCACACCCCTAACCATACATACAATTGATACCTTGTAATTGTTACTCTTGGTAATCTGTTGGAAAACATAATGTGGAGGGAATACTTCACCAACAAAATAACCACATGTAAATCATTGTAATCACAATTCATGAAGAAAACACTGTTTTTTTTTGCATACCTTCATGGAAACGGCGAACATGTTGATTTATTGATTGATTGGGGACCAGCAAAACTATATCAAAACATCCGTTTACAAACTCTCACACAACTCGTGCAGTATAATCTAAGCCTAAATCGTATGCTCAGTACTTTCCAAGCACATGAATTTTTGCAACAACAAAAAAAAAACCCTTCATACTGGAGTCTGGCTTTGAAGAGAGAACTTTCATTACAGTTTTAAATCCAAAAGTAAGGTTTTGGCAAAAATGTATTTGAGAAAGAGAAGGTTTTTTTGAATGGGCAAAGAATTTGCAATCACGTAATAACAAGTAGATGTGTATATACCATAAAATTGCAGTAAGACATTATGAGAATAATTTTAACTTAAATGAATTCAAACATTTATAGGTGTGAACTTTCAAACCCTAATCAAGCACCTTTCATTTTTAGAAGAGTGGCATTTCTAAAGACATTTTTATAATATAAGTGGGTTATGAATATTTTGTATTTGTGAGGATGATGCCTTCAAATGATACATTTTGTGGTTATAATAAAACAATTCCCGTAGGTGGATGTTACCAGACATCCACATTTCTTTCTTCATTTTTACTGCTGCTTATGAGCTCTACAGAACAGGCTTCATTTTCCCTTGTTTCCCGCAGTTATCTATCATTAATGTGAGATGTCACAGGAAGGCCAGGAAGTCAATTAGAATGGATGTATTTCTGACTGCTGCTGTCATTGCTCTGTCTCATGTTCACCGAAGATTGTAGGCAACAGATACCGGCTCCTCGGTCTCAAATGGGAGAAATCTTCCCTCGGAAGCACTTTGTAAAAACAAACATATGTGTAACTGTAAGCTGCTCAAACCCGTGGGGACGGGTAGTGTGTCAGATCCATCCCTCCTCAACTGTTTCTGTATCATCACCCAATCTCCCGAGAAGCTGAGGTCACCAGATGTAACCTTTTACCCTCTTAGGAGTAAAATCAAATACGGAAAATTATATTTGGACTACACATGGAATATGAAACTGTAATACCTCAACAAACACAGGCTGTTCTGCCTCTGAAGGAGCTCTTCAGTGGGAGTAAACACAACTCTCGCTACAATATAACAAAAAAAAAGGTTATTTTCTATGAACATAATTTACTCCCTACTCATTCAGGTTGTTAGAAACACACAAGTGAGACTCAAACTGCAACCAACTTGTTTTTTTCCACAAGCTTGGAAATACCAGCGCGCTTGTTCCATGTGGTCAAAAGAGGGGGTGGATTTGGTTGAGTGTTGAAAGCCATCAGGCCTTCTCTCCTCTCCAGTCAGGAGCATCTGTCAGCTCCGCCACAGTTCTGTCTAATAAACCAGCTCTGTCGACCGGTAGGGTTTCCTGCCTGAAGGCTCCCTTGCCAAATAACACAGCAACTTTGAAGAGGGAGAAAAAAGAGAATTCTCAGGCTACGCAGCTTCTTTTTATGCTATCATCTCTCTATCAGATCCCTGTTTTGTGCTCAATTAGCGAATCTTACAGAGTGCCTTTCATTTAGCTCTCAGAGTGGGAAAAGTGACCTTATTCGCGACGCTGTTCTCTCCACAGAGGCAGCGACAAATGAGGCCTTGTTTTTTTTTAAAGGAGAGCATAATGAAGCTTTGTGGAGGCACAATCCAAGTCAGATAACCCACCAGGATTTCAATTTACCCCTGTCAAAAAATTTGAAAAGCACAAATACACGCCACAGCAAGGGCAGACTTTGTGCATTCCCTCCAGAGGGTATGGATTCAATGGCTGCAGAAGGATGCCTATTCACGTGTCTGTCTTTTGTTGTTATCTTTCTGTCTCAGGTGCAAGTGTAACCTGCATGCCAACAGCTGTGTGTTTGACAAGGGGAAGCTTGGCTGTGAGTGTGAACACAACACCACAGGGCCAGACTGCAGCCGCTGTAAGAGGCACTACCACGGAAGAGCCTGGAGTGTGGGCTCCTACCTCCCTATACCCAAAGGAACAGCAAATATATGTAAGTATAACACCAATGTGTCTAATGTTTGGTAGATACAGAGTGGCCATGCAGCTAATTGCTGTTATTAACAAAGCATTTCCAGTATTGATGCAATAATAAAACATCGTACCTTTTAAGTTTTATTCTGTGCTCTTAGGAAATCGTTGCTCCTCCATATCACATTAGCTCTTTGCCAACTGCTGAACACATACAGTTTGTTATCTTTTGGATAGTGGACCTAGCAATCTTCCTACAGTACAAAATCTCTTACAATTAGAACTGTATATCAAACACTAAAATGACAACTGCGGGTGTTTGTTTAAACTCTTGGGGCAACCTCAGTTTATGTTGCAATCACAAACTACCTCTTTAATCGTGTGAGTAATATCTGTGCTAACTTAGAAGCAATGATGGAAGTAGCAGGACATGTCTACCCTCACCTGCCTGGGTTTGATGGCTGGACCATTTCTGTTTATTTGCCCCAAACAGCCAGTCTACCAACTGTAAAGATGTTAGTTGTAAGCTAGCTAGCATCCCGGGCAACTTAGCCAAGTCCAATTGCATCTTTCCATTGACTTCGTATGCAATTATGCTGCCTCAAAATTTTGCTTCATACTCAACCTGAACACACACTGAGGGAAGAGGTTAGAGTGGCTGGAGCTTTCAGATGGTGTAACATTGATACAAGATCCTGCAATTTGTATCTTGTTCCACCCAACAATCAAAGATGATTCCTTTTACCATAGAGTTCTTTTTTTATCTTGACCACAACCATCATCTTTTCTTTCAAGAGCTTGTAACTAGATTTGCTCACTTAGATTTCTTTTTTGTTGTGTGTGGGCAGGGTGGTTGAATATGACTTTGTTTCTTTTTTACTATTTTAAGTGGGTAAAATTTTAGAGCGATTAAAACACCTGTCTCTATTCAAAGAATGTCTTCGGTGTTGGATGTGAGTAGCCTTCTTAATCTTTGGCTGCCCACTGACTCCTCATTGATCATTTTGACCCTTTTCATCCCTTAACATCCTTGAACAGACACAAGGTTCGTGATAAAGTTGTGACATAACTTGAGCAAAGTTCCACGGGTAGGTTACATGATGACAACCAAGCCATCTTCATGACAACTGAGCAAAGTACATCTGCTCATGAAAACTATAAGATACAGTTAAAGCCCAGTTCAGACCAAAGATCCGTGACGAGCCGAGCTGAAACAGGCAACTACTTGCAAAGCGCTGTTGCCCAACAATCTAAAAACCTGCCAGTTCACACCAATGCAACTAGATTAGATGGACTACCGTCATCTCTATGCAACAACACTTTGTTCAGCTTTTCAGGCCTATATTGTGGCTGGATATAATTTGTAACTTCTTTACATATGAATGAGGATAGTGATAGTGAGATACTGGATAAAGCTGCATTTGTAGTAGTGATGAACTGTTTTGTACTGTACTAGACTGTATTAACCAGTGCCAACTGATCAGTCATACAGCATGCAGCAGCAGCAGCGACCCAACGTCCAACACCGGCACACCATGAGGACAGAAACAGAGGGCTTGGTGGGGACAGATCACCTGCAAACACATTGTTTGCTGTGATTTGACCAGCTGAATTGCAGGTGACACCATCAGCCAGCTTGAGTCTCTGCAATGTTCTTAAACTGTTTCGTCTCGTCATGAATCATGGGTCTCAATTGGGCTTTAAAGTTCCTCAAAAGGCTTGTAGGCGGAAGCTGAGCAAAGACTACTACTATCAAATTAAATGTCACCTATACTTGAATCATAGGGCGGGTCTATCAGAAAGCTCTAATAAGACTCTCCTTTAGAATAGTCATATGAGTCATTGTGAAAGGCAGTGATGACCTGTTTTGTTATTTAGATGTAACTAGTTGGGTCTGTTGGGTTTGTTTTGTAGGAACTTCATCAATGATAAGTCATGCTGTGTTTTATGCATTCAGTGTTAAGTGCACATAATCTCCTTCCAATAGTTTAACAGTTAATTTAGTATTCCTGCCTCAACTCCATGACAAGTGTGAACTAATGCTAGATATTTTTCTGCCTGTTCAAATGGTATCTCTGAGGCAGAAGGTGCTCTTTTGCATTATCCCCATTATAATCTTGGACGGGAGTTGAGTCACATTTATCAAATCCCAAGCCTGAGGCAGGGGGCTCATTGCCTCAATAAATCTAATACAGCCACTCAGGGATGTGGTGGTGGTTGGCCAGGCGAGGCCAGATGGTGGAAGATCTAGCCCTCTGGTCCTCCGTTCACACTGATTCAGCCTTGCAGTCAGAAACTCTCATGGCAGCAGTCTGCTGGGATTGACAGCAGGTTTTTCAGATGCTCAGCTTGATTGTCTGACTTGAATTCTCAGACATGGCACTCTGATTAGATTTGTACAGAGATGTGATATTGCTATTGATCCGCTGATTTGGTGCGAGTACATTTGTGCAGTAAGGGTGCTTTTTCTTGCTCTTCTTTAGGCTATTTGCTGATGATAAATTGGTGGAGTACACAGTCATTTGTACGAATTTTATGAGTGGTTGTATATGCATGTATGTGCACAAAACTGTGTGGATGTGCGTGCATGCACATGAAGCGCATTGGATTGTGAGTGGGAGTTTGTTTTTGGGAACGTCTGTGAACTCTAAGGAGATATTGCTGGATTTACCCCTGCACCTCCTCTGTTATGAGTCTCCCTGCAATGTGGTGCTCGCTGTCAGATTGACAGGCCGTTATTAAAAAATCCAACACTTGGCCGCATCTGCACTGAACTGATGAAACCAAGGTCTAGCCATATCAAAAGCAATATTAAGCACTTGTTTGGCAGTGGCATAAAATGCAATAATGTTGCACATGGAAATGACGTAACAATATTGGTCCCCCAGGTGTTGAATGAACACACTTTTGTCTTGGATTATTCTTATTTCTCTCATGAGTAAAGCCTAGTAACATGCCTTTATCCATTATGTGAAGCTCATATTTCCTATGAGGATATTAAACATACAGGCCTCGTACCAAGACAAATATGCTGAACGTGCAAAATGTAATTATGGTTTAATAGCTTTCATCTGTCATCAAGTCTTCCTCTTTAATCATGGAAGTCATTTATCTCACAGGTAGGAACAGGGCGAGGTCTATTACATATTCAAACCCCTGCACATGCAGATATATGGACATACGTGACCCTTCATCTAATAAATTAGAGCCCAAAATGGAGCCCTGGGTTGCTATGGGCCATAGCTGTCAGCGGCAGAGAGCCACTGAGAGTGATTCAATCCAAGGCTTTCCTAAAAGAAGGAGGAGAAAAAAATCTGTAAGTTGCCTGCAGAGCAGAAGAGGAATCACTTCGAGAATTATGTTGACAGTCCACTTTGCAGGAGCGTCAACTCATCTTGTGTTCCAAAGCAGGTTCACAGGTTAAGAGGGGTTGGGGCTGAGAGTTTGATCAGACTGTAGAATGTGCTTTGGCTTCAAAGGGCAATATTGTTTGCCCTCCATTTCTCACACAGAACAACCACTGGTTAGGAATCGCAGCTTGCTTGGTTTCTTGCAAATTGGAGCATAAAATCTGTGCTTTTCCTGCTGCTGCAGTGTTGTGAACTTGCCAACAGTTGTTGTGACAGCCCCAAACTAGTAATGAAGTGATGAATGGGATGCAAACAATATGAAAACCCCACGGAAACATAATCACAGAAGGATAAAGTGATAAAGCATCAGAAAATGATCAGAAATTGGGCTAATTGTGGGGTAGGATTTCCCTGCTGATTACATTAACGTAACAAAGATAGTGAATCCACAGCCAGATACTGATAAAACGTTGCAGACAAAGGCTGTAACCGTCTTGCCCAAGTCAGCTCCAGCTCACGGACAAGTGCTTGGAAATATCCAATATCTCCAATCAGAGAATATTACAGCAAATTCTATGAATTATTTTCTGATGCTGTTTGACTGGTTTGATTTCCAGATTCGTAGATGCAAAGGTGATACAGAAAAAATACTCTTATCTTCCTTTTAAGAGAAGGAAAGCAAACATATTTATTTTGAACATAAATTAAAATGCTGATACAAAGACTTTCTGTATTGAGAATTTTGATTCTGTTGACATTTCATCACTGGCAGACCTGTTATTATCATCAGAAGTAGGCGTGTGTTAGACCACGCAGTGGTCAGGCTCTCTGCAGAGCTGTAGCTGCTGTTAATCAGTGCTGGACACAGTGGAGACCAATTTGATACGTGCTGGTGAGCTTTGAATTATTCAAAACAAACAACACAAACAATAAAGTTTCCAGAGTAAAATGAAATAAGTCACTTTCATTAAACATTTTTTCTTCGCTCTTTCCGCAGGTATCCCCAGTAATCATGGACCAGTGCGTAAGTTGATCAAGCTTTTTAAATTGGCATGCTGACTAATGGTTTCCTCCCTCAGTGATGACTAACTCTTGTTTGACTGATGAGGTTGGTGTGTGAAATTGTGCTGTACATTACCATTATCATTCATCAGTATGTTTTTCCACAGTGAAAGAATATGCATCCTAACAAGGCATTAACTTTGAATTACATCTTAATATCCAACTTTAACGAATAGAAGTGAGCCAGTGCATGGTGTAAGAAAACTGCAGTTTTAATAGTGACATCATAGACTGTATATTAAAGATGGATGATCTGACAGCTTCTAAAAGCAAAGCCAAAACATCTCAATCGCCCTCTGGTGGCTGGCTGCAGTATAAGTCGTAAACCGCGCCACCTCCATGTTAGCAGAGCAGACATGGGCCAAACTAAAACAACTATGTTAGCATCAAATACATTATTCCCAAAGATGGTTTCTGTTATTTCAGGTAGTTCTTTTCATGCTATCGTATGTTCAAGTGTTCAAACGTTTGGTTTTAATTCCGTATTTGATGCTTTAAAAAGGGTCAAGGGTCACTAAAAGGTCAAAACTGACAGCTGTGTGTGCCAACTAGTTATAATGAATAGCGTCGCTCACAATGGATTGAACAGGTGTATGGGTGGGAAGACAATACCCCAGAGATCGCCACTGCACAGACTGGCTTCAAATGACGTCACTGGTGCAAGATGGCAGTGCCCGTATCCATGATACTTTGGCTTAATTTTTTTTTTTTTTTTTTACAGTGGGAGGAGGTGGAATTGCATCGTCCATCTTCATATACAGTCTATGAGTGACACTTGTCCCAAAATACTATTGAAATAAAAGAAAGTGAATTTCAAATGAGCAGTATTTTCTCATCCGACAGACAAAAGTTCTTTCTTGTTTTAAGAAAAACATAAAAATGTAAAGGGACTAGAGCTGATTTTTCACATTTTATTACAAATCATACTTACTTCCTGCTAACAGTTATGCAAACCATGCTGTCCTGTTTCATATTTTGAAAATGTTGCTCTTCCAGGAAGTGAATGGAAACCATTGAATGAATTCAGCCTATTTTCATGTAGCATTCACCAATGAGAAATTACCTAAATGACCATTAAGACCATTAAGAGGCTTTTTGATTTTTATTTTAAAAAGAAAAATAATGGAAATGGACCAATTTAAAATAATGGAAGCCTAAGATGTTTCCTGCTTTCCGAGCACCATTTTAAGGGAGACAATACCATAAGCCTAAGCAGCATGGTTTGCAAAATGGTAAACAGCAGGAATATTAATGGTATTTTTTCGGTAAACAAGCTAAAACTTTAGTATGATTCAAGAATAAATGACTTGCTAGTTCATAAAATACTGTAGGAGCCCTGCATGTTTGGGCCTGTGCATCAGCAGGCACTACTGAGAATCATCTCCCTTCCACACTAGAATATTTGCTCTAAGCGCACAGACAGATATTTGCCCAAAGCCTGAGAAAAGAAAACTACTTTTTATGAAGACATGGCTCCCACCATGCATCCTTACGCATGTTGATGCCTGAAGGCGACTGCTCATACTGGATAACAAAAGCAGCTACCATATGTACGTGTCTCTGCCTTTGTCTTGTGGAAGATTCACTCATTTAAGCTGCATGCACACTATTCTACATTAGTCCATTTACTACTACTCCAAAATACATGGCAGAAACTTTACAATAACTCTGAGGCAAATGAGCCTTTATGACTCACAGATAATTATAAAAAATTGAGAGTCTATGCATGCTGTCCCTGTGCTTTAACTACATTACAGCATGAATTATATGACAACTCAGTGTAATATATAACCTTTCCCATTTTCACACAGATCGAGCAAATGCTTCATCTCTTGGTGTTGCAAATCGTAACCAAGGTAGGCTTATAGGCTTTGTAACTTCAGCATGACATTACCAATACAGAATTGATTGCTTACTGATTCGGCAATTTGGAAAAAAAAAAATGTAATGTAGAGTATGCAAATAGCAGTTTGTAGTCGGTTGTTTTCCCAAAGTCCAGATGCTTTCATCCTGCATGCACACAAACACACGCTGGTCCGTACAAGGCAGACCTTTTGTTGTGAGAACACTGCAGGGAATGGACCACATGCCTCATGATCACCGAGTCCACAGCCTCCTAACCCCTTTGATCATGCCCTCTTTTTAATTACGCAGAACGCTCTCTGGGGGTGCACCCTTTCTGCCATGTTCACAAAGAAAAAAAAGGAAAGAGGAGAAGGAGAGGGAAGGAGAGAAGAGGCTCCAGGGGGGTTTATGTAGATTGATCTCCAGCTATCTCCAGCTAATCCTCGGGCCCAGATATCCTGTGTAGTGAGTGTTAAGTTGCATCTGCACCACTGCTCTCACAGCCAGAAGAAAAAAATAAAAATAAAAAAGGACTTTCAGGATTTTCACGATCAAGAGAGGGTGTTTTCTTCTCTTCCCTGGACTCACAAAGCTGGGAACCAGATGCACCAGTGTCAGAGGTGAACAGAAGCCAGTTACTGCAATGGAGTGGATAACAAACAAATCTGCTTCCCTGTGTAATCTGCATCGCTTCCATATTAAGTGTCAGAAAATACTGTCAGTCTAACCTTTAACAATGTCATGAAAAGCTTTTACAAGTCGTTGTACTGAATTTTCTGCACTTACTGGAGCAGTTTTAAATGTCCCATGACAGTAGGTGTTTTCATAAGAAAAATCCTAAAGTGCAAAAAGAGGTGACTTGTTTTTAGTGGAGAGGTGACATTTTATACTGCAACAGAAGTGTCTCTGAAATAAACATAAAGAAGATATTTAGCATTTGTGATAATAGGTATTTGGGTAGTAACAGTACACAGAAGTCACGGTTCAGTGCGAGTTTGGTGCAGCAGAAAAAAAACCAACCTAAAATGCATAAGGAATAATTTGTTCGCTTTTATTTTGAACAGACAGTAGTGCCAGCGTCACAGACAGACGAAATCCTCTCGCAGAGGACTGAGGTAATATTTTGTCCACTGGCAACCTTGGTAAACTATTTTCATTTGAAAAAATAAGAAACATTTCAAACACTTGTGTATTACACTGTAAGAACACTAAGCAAACACTTTCTGTAAAGGCAACAGGTCACAACAGGCTATAAGACTGGAGAGCAATTCTTATGATATGAGGGAGGAGTGATTCAGTTAGCTCCACCTTGGCTTTATTTTAAAATTCAGAAACACCCTAACATTTATCAGCCCAGTGATGGGCACACCTGGGTGATGCTGTTGAATGTGCATTAGCATGTTGGATGTGTTTCCATTCACATTCCTGACAACTGTGGAGCAAAGCCGTGGCACTGTCCTAGACTTATATACTACTTTATCTCCACTGTTGTAGCTGACATGGAAGCTTCAGGCAGGTCTTCTAGCTCTGGTGTTTCATTGGCTCTCACCATAGTGACTGACTCACACACACTAATCCCAGCATATGCTGCTAACGGTGTATGCTTAAAAGTTACCAGGTGGAACTTGCAGTAAGGAAATTTGGTTCCCTATTATGTGCACTACCCCACCCAGCTGGCACTGGACATCAACATGATGTCGGAAAGACGTTGGACTGTTACGCAAGACAAACGTTAATTTTGGTTGGAATGAAAATCAAGCTGACAATATTTTAAATGCCTAATGAATTTCACGTTGTGTGAAGGTTAACATTATGACATTTTGCTGATGTTGGGTTTTGTTCACCATGCTGCTGACATGATGCATTTAGAAGACGTTGGATTTTAGTAACACAGCTTAAAACCAACAAAATGTCAACGACACCTGTCATCAGTATTCTAGATATAAAAAAAACCCCTCAAAGTCTAAATTCCAATTTAATTAGATCTTTGAAAAAAAAAACTGATGGCAAATGCTTTTGCTGCACCTTTTTGACAACATCTTTTTAGAATCAGTGATTTTTGTAAAAATGAAAAAGAAAAGTAATAATTATATATGTTGCCTGTTGTGTGAACATGACGCATTCACAGTGAACCAGTGTGGAATTCAATAATGGATATTCTGAAAGTGTTTTTAAATGATCTTAAGAAGGAGCAATACTTTAAAGGAACAGCCAGTAGTTACATATTTTGGGAAATATGTGAATTTGATTTCCTGCCTGGCTTAGCTTAGCATAAAACATGGAGGCCTGTGGAAACAGTTAGCCTGAAAAAATGCCTAGAAGCACCTCTAAACCTCACTAGTAACACATTGCATCCTTTTACATGTTACAACTTCTTTTTAAGGAACACTGGGCCTCAAAGCCAATTTTCCTAGTGGCCAAAAGTTGGATTACAACTTCCACCAAGTCCATCACATGTGATTCCATCACGCCCCAAAAAGACTTTCTCCTGTAATACATCATGAAAGAACCCTCTGTAAATCAGTGGGTACATTTTTCCGAGCACCACAAACCCTGTGAAATGACTTGTTTTACTATCAGAACATGATCCATTCAGTCTAGTGGCATTTGGAAAGTCTGTGCAAGGGAGCTGAAGTGTGCGGACTTTTCTTTGTCTTCAGTTTTATTCATTTAGTCCAGCACCTTTTTCATTTTTTGGATGTGCGCGGCTGCTCTGTTTGTATTCACTGAAAGTCTAAGCAATGAAATAATTATATCCCCAGTCAAGTTTGTGGCATGCTGAACTTGAAGTAGCCAGCTCGGTCAACAGAAGTCTCTGGTATGCGTGTTCTATGGGCCCAATGGTGTCAAAGCAGTGCTGATCATGCGGATGACTTAATACACAGCAGTTGAGCATTTTTGGCTTCATGCATCACTTTCACAGGAATGAACAAGGCCCTGCCGACAACATTGTATCTGGCACTCTTAATACATTAATGATCCGGCTGCTGTTTCCCAAGAAGTACTTTCACCATGTAACTGTTAATTCAAGAGCTTTGTTGTTGCTGGTAGCTTTTTTCATCAAAGCCAAATTAGCCTGCTTCCACTCTTTTTGCTAAAGTAAGCTAAACTAACAGGCTGCAGTCTTCAGCTTCACATTTAGCAGCCACGAGTGTGAGGATATATTTCCCTTTTTTTAACTACTCCTTTAATGTAACACTCTAATCCTCTAATTCTGACTTGACAAGCATTTACTGACACGGGACTTTTGCTTGAGTGAAAGTTAAATCAGGCCCTTTCTGTCTTTAGAAGCAGTGTTGTATTCCTGCCACTGTCAAGTGCTACTACGCAGCTGACACCTTATATTGAACCTCAGAGCCTCGAGTCATGACTAATGATGAAGCCTTCGTGTTAATATGATAACAGGAGGTATGGCTGAATGCGGGTTTCAGCTTACCCTGACACCATGGCTAAAGATATTGATCCAATGTAATTGAAGCAACACTATTCTGTCTCAGAGCATATAATTAGCTGATCCTGTATCTGAAAACTGTCTCCAGTTATAGTTAATTGCACTGGTGAATCTACAGTTACAGAGGCTTTTTTAAAATATTAAATGAATAACTAGTATATTTAACTAATGTGTTTTTCCCCTGCATGTATTTAAATGAAGGTGCAGCTTTCTTTGTGGGGATTTTCTTGTATAAAAAAGGGGATCTTTAATACTGTAACTTCGTTTCAAGCTTCACATGACTGCAACAAAACTCATGTAATATCAGATCTGTTGCTATGAACTGAAGCATTTAAAAAGGTTGGCTATTCGATAGAACTTATTTCTACTACATAAGATCCAGATCTGTATCTAAGAGACTTCCGTCGCAGAGTATCTGAGGACATCAAGCTCTCTGAGATGAGAGGATTAGAGAACTGCCTGAGTATGTTTGGGACATAAACAGACCACTCTAAAAAGCCAATACGTCCAATATTTTAGTATCATAGCAGATGAAACATGTCCTAACTGACAAAATAATCCAATCAACAGTGGGCTACAGAATGTGATACAGGATGACAAGACAAAATCACATTCACCTTTCAATTGCATCATGATTCCAGTCACACAAGCAGTGATATGAAATCTAATTCAGCTCTTTGTCCTTCCTATCTATCACTTTTGTGCTGTTGCTGTGGTGAATTTCCTCCATGTTGCTTCGTGCGACACCAAGGCCCAAGCGTGGATCTGTCATAACAGTTATACTGCTAAAATGTCACACTTCTCACGCAGGTGTGAGCTACACATATGTCTCAGAGAGAGTACACCAGCGCTTAGCCGAGACTCAAATTGCTTTATTCTCACTTGCTGCCAGCACAAGTCCAAAAGTGAGTGATGTCACACTGTTGACTCCCTTATATAAGATACAATTATATACAGAAATCATTCAAAATGCATAATGTGTATTGTATTATCTATTATTAAAGGAGCACTCTACCAGATTTACACATGAAGTTCATTGTATTCATCACAGTGTGTACTTGGAAAGCCTAATGATGTCATAACAGTTATTAGACTGCTAATTTTAAGCAGAAAGCCTGTATTACACACTAGGTGGCATGCAGTTTGAAAAACATGGGGACGTGCCAGACAGGGACTGTCTAATGAAATAACCTACTGTGTTGCATTATGGGAAATTTGGGATCCAGCATTTTGGGGGCTTGACCTGTACTCCACACCAAGAATGATAACTATAACAATAATGATGTGAGCATCCACACTAATGTATGATAACATTCTGTAAAGCACCAAGCACGTGCTGCACGCTCCAGCTGTGTCAGCAACCTAGGAAAATGGATATTTTTTACCTTGTTACTGCTGTACGCTGCACAGAGAAACAAAACCCATTGGTTATTCATAATCGTCTCCTCAGCTCCCTCAATAATAATAATAAAACACTTACGCCTGATCCCGAGGGTGAGCCCCATTGCATCCCAGATGTCCTTCTCTTTATTAAAGGGATAGTGCACCCAAAAATGAAAA